TTTTGTCTCTATTCAATAGGCCACTATCTCTGTAATGGTTAAAAAAAAGCTTCTTGGAGAACACAAGCATATTTAGCAGCATTGATGCAATTGTTTATAAATTATGTCTTTTTTTTTTTCTGAAATGCTTCATTATGGCTTACTGAGCCCGATACTGTAATTGATATGATTGTATTTTTAGTCCCACTTAGGTGTCTTTAGCTGTTATGTACTAACATTTAAATTAATAATTTGATAGAATGCACTTTGTGTTTGAGTTCACGTAACATTCTTTACTTAAAAATATATGTAACGTAGCCTGGATGCCAGCCCGAACTCCGCCCACAACATTTTTTGGTCGTGAAGTTCGGTCTGGACTCGATCCATTGAGGAGTAATTATGATCAGGCAAAAAATGATCGGGCCAATCAAATTGCCAGGGCGGGCTTTATACGATGATGGACAGATGATCTGCAGGGACGTAATCATCACATTATCAAAGAGCGCTTGTCAAAGATGACTGCAGCTGGAGAACTGAGATGTATAGATTCCACTGTTGCGTCTTTTGTAAAATAAATCGACAGCGCATTCATTTTAATAGACAAACAGAGAACTGCAATCAAGGCATTTGTCGATCGGAAAGGGGGTCCTTCCTACATGATTCGGGAAAAGTGTAACTTATTAGCTGGCTCTGACGGTCGTTATGAAGATGGGACGTAATGAAAAGCCTGTGGTCGTTGTGGTTTCTCCTTTGGTGGCACTCATGGAGAAGTAAGTAAAAGAAGCAACACTCGTTATTTAACTTCTAAAATAAATAAAGTTAGGCTCTTAGACTGTAAAAGGCTACGTTCTGTATTTGAAAACTGCGCTATGAAAAGGAGTTGACTTACTGCGTTGCTCTGATTGGTTGTAGGTCTACCGACTATCCAATTGAGTGCAAAGGGTTTTTTTTTTTTCCTGGTTCGGTTACGACACGCCTCATAATCAAAGCCCATTGGAGGAGTTTCAGACTCATATTCTCTCTTGAATATGAGTATGACGAAGTCAGGCTATATGTAACGTGATGCGTGAACTCGAATATTTAAGTACATACAACAAAGGTTTTTTTGTTAATTTTAAGTAAGAAAAAATTCTGCATTACTTAAAAAGTATGATGCAAAAATGGTGCATATATCTCTTAAGTAAATGCAACACATCATTTTTTAGTGTATAAGCGCGAGTTTTTATTTAATGTGATTGAATTTGTAATTTTGCAATAACTTAAAAGTATTTTCTTATTAAATTAAATAAAAAATATTTTCTTATTCAGTATTTTTGAGTTGTTTTTTCCAGTACAGGTATCTTAAATCAAGATATATTTGGAGAAGTAAAATGACTTGATAAGTATTGTTTTCTGAAGAAAAAAAAATAAAAAATACTTAATAGTTTTTACTTAAACAAAGCAAAATTATTTCCCAGTGGGGTCAGAAAATAATCTTGTTTTCCTTTGAATTCATTTTATTTTTCTGACCCATGGTAGTTGGTCTTGTTTAAAAAACAACAACAAAAAAACAGGACTTTATAGTCATTTTGCTTAAGTAAAGGCATCTTGATTTAAGAATGTTTAGATATTTTAATTAAAAAACATAAGAAAAATAAACTGAGCACAATACACTTTTTTTATTTTTATTTTTTGCAGTGCTAGGACAAAAAAATGTGTTAAGAAATTGCTTTTGGCTTTGCATGGTGTTTCTGTGTCTGCAGTTTTGTGTTGTTTGGGCTGGGTGAGAAGTCATTTTTTGTGTATCCATATCATTTTGTGTGAATGCTGAATGAGCTGTTCTGATCAACTTGTTCTTTTCAAATCTATGACAATACACAACAAGATTAAATGTTTCATAAAACACAAAGAGTCATCTTTTTTTCCCCCCCGCTGGTCAGGATTTATTTCTTTATACTATATCTAATGACATATATATTATATTAAAGAGCATTCATTACTATGGTAGCTTTATGTTTTGAGCATTTTAAGTAGCATTAGATAATCACAGATCAAATTGTAAAATATATATGCTGATAGATCAGATCAGTTGCAGAGGTCAGTTGTGCAGCAGCTTGTCTCCACCTGAGGTGGCAGATCTTTGAAACACTCCTCAGCTTTTCCACATCTGCGCACCTCACCGTCTACAAAAAGAAATACACAATAGCTTTCACAAAGGGATTGGGTTGAAAAGTAAAACTCAGTTCATCAGTTCCTTGTCTCAGGTTTAAAAATGAACAGTAATCTGCACTAGCGACTATATGGCACTATATGGTCAACTCACAGGCTGGATCGTGGAATTTGATCTTAATGCAGGAATCGAGACCACTGCTGCATTCTTTCACCACCTTCTTATCACATTTGGGATTTTCTTTGTTGATCCCGTTGCAGAAGTTGCACCTCAGTGCCTGTGCAACTATAGAATCACAATTTTGAAATGGGAAAATGTTTAAGAAAAGCTTCTGTTGTGTGCTGAATTCATTATAGCAATCTTCTGGCAGAAAAAACAAAAAACAGGTTCCAAAAATATTTAGTGGTCGTTCAATGGTCTTAACCAATTTTATCACAAATCACTGGTCAGGAAATGAGCAAGAATTGTACAAATACTTTAGATGAAGTAACTGAGAATAGCCTTCCCTAATTGCAGACAGCTTTTTACTGGAAGACGAGTCAGTGTTGTTCCACTATCTGTTAATGGCTTCAAACAGTTTAGTTGTTGAAAAATGTCTCCCAGTTCCAAATCTGGACTCTGAACAGGCCAAAACATGAGCCTGATGGACTTGTGCTAAAGTTCCCAGTTGTGTTTGCAGTGTGGCAGGAGCATTGTCTTAAAATAACATCTGATCCCTATTTCCCCTTATAAAACAACTTTTTTACTTATATGGGAAGCAAGCCATTCTGCAATATTCTCCTGAACTCCGAAGCATTAAATGTATTTTGTTAAGTAGCTCACCAATTGCAGCTTAAATGACACCCCTCCCTCCATGCTTCACTGTGGTAGAGATGCATTTATTATATATTTCTCACCAGATTTCCAAAGACACCGTTCTGGAGCATCACCATGCCACTCGTGTTTCATTGTGATTCATCACTCTGCACTCAATTCCCATATTCTGCTGAAAACTTAAAGGAGTAGTTCACTTTTGAAAAAAAATTGCTGATAATTTACTCACCCCCATGTCATCCAAGATGTCCATGTCATTCTTTCTTCAGTCGAAGAGAAAGCATTCCAGCATTTTTCTCCATATAATGCACTTTACTGGTAATCAAACGGTTCAAGGTCCAAAAGACACTTTCATTACAAACTACTGCAAACTGTTCAAAGGGCTTTAAACGATTCCAGACGATGAATACGGGTCTTATCAAGTGAAACGATCGCTCATTTAATAAATAACAAAGTTTAAGTTTTATAAAATTGTCACCTTGCTCTGTTCTGTGACGCACGTTTGTGACTCTCCTGTTCGAACTCGTTCATCAAAATGAACAAATCTTTTTCCGAGTCATTTGGTTCATTCAACGAACGAAACAAATGAATTGACTCGGAAAAAGATTTGTTCATTTTGAATCATAAACGTGCATCACAGAACAGAGCAAGGCGAGCGTTTGAGCTTATAAAACTTAAACTGTGTTATTTTTTTTTTTAAATGACTGATCGTTTCGCTTGATAAGACCCTTATTCATTGTCTGGAATCATTTAAAGCCCTTTGAACAGTTTGCAGTTTGCACTGAAACTGTCTTTTGGACCTTGAACTGTTTGATTCCCACTGAAGTCCATTATATGGAGAAAAATGCTGGAATGTTTTCATCAAAAACCTTAACTTTCGACTGAAGAAAGAAAGACATGGACATCTTGGATGACATGGGGGTGAGTAAATAATCAGCAAAAGTGTTTTGAAATGTGAACTAATTCTATCTTTGATGTTTTAAGACCCCAATGGCTTTTTAAGTTATGCATTTGCTTAGATTGTGCTTATTTCCTGACCAATAATTTTTGATTAAGACAATTAAGAGCTTAGTGTTCCACTTTATGGAAATCATATATATATATACATATATGTGTGTGTGTGTGTGTGTGTGTGTGTGTGTGTGAGAATGTAAGAAGTAAATGAAGTTCTATCATTTTCCATCAAATTACATAGATTTAAATTAGAATATGTACATATATATTTAAATATTACCTTATGTTATAAAAAGCACAACCTGTTTACTGTGAGAAATCCGGAGAACAACGATCTGAAAACTGAAAATTCTGAAAATTCACTCACCACAGAGGGCACCTAAAATCATGATCAGAACCAATGTGTGGGATCCCATCTTTCTTTATTAAACTGACATAAATGAATGATAATGAGTTATTAAATATGAAAACATAAATAAATAAATGTAAAATCAATTCATGTATTCATGCATTAAGACTAAAAGTAATCTGATAAAATATCTTTCTTACCTTCTTAGTCTGAAGTGTTGCCGAAGAATTAATCAAGGAGATGAATACAGCACGTATATATATGTGACACCTGATAACAAGGGTGCTCCTCCCTGCCCTAATAACTTGTGGGGTATAACATGTCCTATGTAACATTTAGATCCTCAGTTTAAATAAACACATAAATTAAGTTGCTATGACAATAAATGAAAATTAACTTTATAACATAAGTTAATGTTTAATTTCTTTTAGCAACAGCAGTTTTATTACAATTATCCTGTGTATTTGGATATACTTAAATCTAAATATAGGCTATTTTAATGATTTTTTAAATAATTGCTTATATACTGGCTGTCATCTTACATAAAAAACAGCATAATTAAGGACGATTTGTTTTAATATTTTAGATATGAAAGACATGATTATGAGAACAGTATTTTGCCACAGTATTGAGGTCATTTGCTTTGTGTGCACAACAATAGTGAAATATAACACTGTCACACCCTAATGTTCCCAGTCCTTTCTTACCCAATGGCTAAACTGAACAAGTGAGAAAAGTCATAGTCAGATGCACAAATTCTGAGAATCAAACGAAAGTTTATATCATTTAAAAATTATAAGAACAGGTTCAAATTTGACTTTTACAATTACTAAAATAATTTTACACACATCTGAATAACAAAACAATAATATTACACACATCTGAATAACAAGGAAAATCAACAATTGTCTGTCTTACAGGATTAAAAAAAATCTGTATAAAACGATAAAATACCACAGAAAATGAACAATCTCATTTAAAAAGACATCAACAAAACATCAAATTTATGAATGAGAGAAAATGAATAGGCTACTTGACGTTTTCCCCCTCACTGATCATGGTCGTCTTATTTAAAAATGATGTTGTAATCCACAGGACCCTGCTTATACAGACACATCGAAAGGATCATACCACATATCTGCAAAAAAGAAAAAGATATTTGTCATAAATTAACCATTCATGGTTCAACCATTCAGTTAACCATTAATCATTTAAGCCTATATATATCCAACGCATTCTCACCCCAAGGCGTCGCCTTTGACCATGCTTCAATATTTGACGTTTTAGGCGCCCTTTAGCGTCACTTACATGACGCGATCCTACGGCGTCATCTAACTGACGCTAAAGGAAAGCGTCTGTTAGAGGACGCGGTTAGGTTTAGGTGTGGGGTGGGGGTAGGGTACACGCGATCCTAGGGCGTCATCTAACTGACGCTAAAGGGCGCCTAAAGCGTCAGATATTGAAGCATGTCCAAATGCTTCCCAAGGCGTCAGTTAGGTGACGCCTTGGGGGTGAGAATGGGCTGATATATCTAACAATGACAATGCCCTCAATTAACAATTTCGGTCAAATATCCCAAGTTCAAGTTGAGTCTGGGATCAAGGATAGACGAATCTTCAGTTCAAACCACACACTAGGCTACTATGATAACAACATAGCTATACCTTGCCAGTACTCCACAGTGAAATCTCTGCGAGGGAAGATACAATTAAAAGTAACCACTGAGACCTTTGCACAATCATATTCTCTTACTCTGAACTCACAAAACAAAGTCACACATTAAGAAAAACGTACGAAAATGAAATACAGCTAAAAGTAAGACCACCATGTATCTAATCTGAGAAACAATTATTTTAATTGGTTGCTATGTCATTTCCACACCAAGTATCATGCATTATAACAAAACGTATTACACAGCACTCTAGAATGCCCGATTCTGATCAATCGCAGCATTCAGTGGGAAGACATTTTTTAATACACCATCGTCCATAGCAACAAAGTCCGTTCATCTGGGCAACTCATATTAAGGTATATTTCATGTTATTCATGTCCATGCATTTTAAATTTGAGAGGAGCTGTGTAATAAGTGTTATAATTTTATCTCAGTATTTCGTTATTGCAAAATAAACCCATTAAGGCTGGAATTGTATTCAGAATGACTTGTTTGGTAGTGTCTGGTAATCTGATTTGAAAGTTGTTTTGTGTATGAAGTCCAGTTTTTCTCTGTAACCATTTACAAAGTTGGCATGTGTATGATGCCTAGTGTTTTAAACTAGGTGTTTTAACATCTGGTGTAGTGTATTCCAGCCTTTATGGGTGATACAAGTGCCGATTCCTCCACGCAAAAATGAAGCACTCAACCACACCACACTAGTCACAAAGAGAGACCTGGACAGCTGAACATGGCTGCCATGTGACTTTCTAGGGCAGCAACGGTGTGTGCGATTAAGACAGCAGTAAAATACGAGACAAATCCACTGTAGACACTATGAGACAAATGGCCAGAGGTGGTAATTAAAACATTCAGCAACACCATCAATTCCTTCCATATGCACTTAATTTATTGTCATTAACTCTTAAGTTTAGACAGTGAAAGCTTGTACTTATTTGAATTATCTGAATTGGTTTGAATGTGTTTCGTGACAGTTTGCTTACCTCCACCAGAGAAATTGCCAAAATAACCACCAAAATTAAGAGGAGATTTGCTTCCAGCCACTTTATAATATCGTCACCGCAACCCTTTGAGAAAGAGAAAAGAGGTACAACTCAAATCATTTTGTCGGAACACAATTTACAAAATGATTCAGGGCAGAACTGAAACCGTACCTTCTTATGAATCCGGCATGATGTGTGATTTGAAATGGTAACATTTGTGGAACATTTTTGACATAATGTTGTAGCTTGGGTTTCATCCGTCGCATTGACAGTGGCATTGACTGTGTAGACGCAGGAACAAGGTATATAATTCCCCCAGTCTCCTTCCCCATCCCAACCACAGCATTTAATCTGCAAAGACAATAATGGAGGTGATATTTTATTTCAAACTTCCCAATGTAATTGTCAAAGTTTGCTTTCAAGTTCTACTGATAGTTATGTAACATGCATTTTGCACACGCACCATGTATTATGCTGATTATTTTATCAAGGTCCAAATGAGAGTTTCAGTGTAGCTTCAAAGGGCTTTAAACGACACCAGACGATGAATAAAGGTCTTATCTAGCGAAAAAATCGGTCATTTAAAAAATAAATAAAAAAGTTTAAGTTTTATAAGCACAAATGCTCACCTTGCTCTGTTGTGTGATGAGCGTTCGTGACTCTCCTGTTCGAACTCGTTCATCAAAATGAACAAATCTTTTTTTGAGTCATGACTCGAAGGTTCCTAATATAAGACCCTTATTCATCGTCTGGTGTTGTTTAAAGCCCTTTGAAGCTGCACTGAAACTCTCATTTGGACCTTGAACCATTTGGTTTCCAATGAAGTCCATTATATGGAGAAAAGCCTGGAATTTTTTCATCAAAAACCTTAATTTCTTTTCGACTGAAGAAAGAAAGACATGGACGTCTTGGATGACATGGGGGTGAGTAAATTATCAGCAAAAGTTTTTTTTAAAAGTGAACTACTCCTTTAAGTGTATTTTACTCAATTCCACGTGTGAAATGTACTTGAAAAATCTGATTGTTAAAAAAAAAATTGGGTCAATTTTACATATAGTTTTCTCATGTATAGTTTTCTTTTTGTTGTGTACTGTACTGTTTCTCTCACCTCTTTCTGAATGTAATGTAGAGTCTGATTAAAAGCCTCAAGACTGTACTCTCTGGAGTCATTCCTTGTAAGTGACTTTATTAATTCAAGAGTACGATCCTTTAGTAAACTGCCAAACTGATTAACAATGAGGGGAGGGGGGGGGGGGGGGACAAGTTAAAGATGTTTTGGTCATGATTTTATCTCAAGTATTAGCTTCAGACATATAACATTTGAAAAACAGAAATCAATCAAACTGATTAAAAACTTGACACCAAAGAGGATTAATTATAAATAATGTGCTAGATCTGTATAAAAAGCCCAATGCCAAACTGGGTGGGACTGCAGATCTGTATGCTTGAGTTACCTCAGTCTTCTGGGTGTAGACAAGAACCCCACCCATTATCTGAGCCGTAAGAAGAACTGAGAGCAGGATGAAATACTGTAGATAAATGAAGGCTATTTTAATACTGTTACTCAGTGGAGCAGATCAACTTACTGATGCATTACAAACACCAGTACCAGGAACATGTACAATTCTCATGAGGTTGGTGACTCCTAGACACTTAAAAGAGTAGTTCACTTAAAAAAAAAAACTTTTGCTGATAATTTACTCACCCCCATGTCATCCAAGATGTCCATGTCATTCTTTCTTCTGTCGAAAAGAAATTAAGGTTTTTGATGAAAACATTCCAGGATTTTTCTCCATATACTGCACTTTACTGGTAACTAAACGATTTTGGTTAAACTGCAAACTGTTCAAAGGGCTTTAAACGATTCCAGACGATAAATAAGGGTCTTATCAAGCGAAACGATCGCTCATTTAAAAAACAAAAAACAAAACATAGTTTAAGTTTTATAAGCTCAAATTGTCGCCTTGCTCTGTTCTGTGATGCGCGTTCGTGACTCTCCTGTTGGAACTCGTTCATCAAAATGAACGAATTAACTCGGAAAAAGATTCGAGTCTTTTTCCGAGTTAATTCGTTCATTTTGATAAACGAGTTCGAACAAGTGAGTCACGAACGCGCATCACAGAAACAGAGCAAGGCGACCATTTGAGCTTATAAAACTCATCGTCTGCAATCGTTTACTGTAAAGCCCTTTGAACAGTTTGCAGTTTGCACTGAAACTGTCTTTTGGACCTTGAACCGTTTTGTTCCCATTGAAGTCCATTATATGGAGAAAAATCCTGGAATGTTTTCATCAAAAACCTTAATTTCTTTTCCACTGAAGAAAGAATGACATGGATATCTTGGATGACATGGGGGGTGAGTAAATTATCAGCAAAAGTTTTTTTTAAAGTGAACTACGCCTTTAACATTTTAGGAGTTTTCCTAACAAGCGTATGTTAAATGGCAAAAAAACTCAAATAGGTCACATCAATTGCATTTGAATCCCATCAAGTTTTGTTTTTCTGAAAACTCACAGTTGCCAGCAGGCATTTGACAGTCTTCAGAGAACCCAGACATCCTAGGAAGCCTAATGCCATGGTCGCAGAGCCACTGGCGATCAGCAAGTAGGAGAATAGAGACATGGAAAGGTAGGGAAGATGGGATGCTGCAAATCATGGAACAAATGCGTTAATATTTTGTAATAGACGAAGAATCCAAATAGCACCGTCTCTTCTTTTCACACACAAATAAGTATAAAACTTACTGAAAATGCTGGTCTCTGAAAATGTTATCCATAGTCCCAGAGATAAGAGGAGGGATCCTAAGAGCTAAATGAGAAAACCACAGTCCAACAGCAATCTGACATGTACATTGTATATAATGTAAAAGTTTTATCCAAAAGTCCAAAAAGGTGACATATATTATACAGTAGGCTATATGACTACAAGGAAAGTGCTGTTATATTTTTATATTCTTGTTATGTATATTATATACTTTATTTCATTTCATTTCATTTAGAGTCTTATAGCACTAATATGCAAACTTACAAAGAATATCAAGTTGAAAAGAAAGAGGAAGTATTTGGTGAGACTGAGGCAGCACTCAGATGCCATATCTGTAAGCACAAAATAAAAAAATAAATAAATGAATATTGAAATCATACTGAGAACCATTGAAATATATATATATAGAGTCAGGATGAGATGCAGAACATTATGCACCATGTTCCACTTTTCTCTAAGAATCAAGCTGGTTTCACACAGTTCAGTACTTTTTTTTCTTTAAGAATCAACACAGTGTTTTCGTATTAGTTTGGATTTGCTGCTCAAAAAAAAAAAAAAAAAAAAAAAAACCCCCACAAAAACAGAACAGGGTACAGGAAGTGTCTTGTACTCTCATATTTCCTTGCCTTTGGTAACGAAACCAAATATATCATTTTACACAGGCATGCATTAACTATTCAAGCACTAGCACATGGGACAAAAGTGCTTTGTTTGCTGTTATGAACATTTGAGAATATATCCTTCGGGGGTTAGGTAAATTCAGGTTTTTTACACCATGTTAGACGGTTCAAAAAGCCAGTGATATATTTGTATTTATAATGTTTAAACAACAGAAACCATTTTTGTTAACATTTATGCAATAAAACCTCACATAGAAAATAGTATCTCATATAAACAACATTTACATAATCACCATCTAATTGGAATTCATCAAAACATTTTAATGATTTGACTGATGTCTTTTAATGCTTTCTAGAATAAATAGTTTCACCAAAGAAATAAAGATGTAAAACTTACCTTAAACAAACTGGGCAAAGTCAGTAAGATTACACGGTGGGTAAATAAAACGTGGAAGCCTCTCACGAGATCATGTGAAAAATAATTTTGCATAAGTAAAAGGTTTAATTCTGATTCGCTGTATTGCTTGAGAGTTCATGCCAGTAAGCAAAGCATGACTGACTACTTCAGTAGGAAGCAGGTGTATACAGAACACCCACCATAAATAAAATATCAGCCCAGACTCTTTTACATCCACATATCCCCACTTGCCTCTCTGAATTAGCAGCATTTTATTTAAAACATGTAAATGATTTCTATGACATTTTGTGATATTTTCGTGTTTACACAGTCTGCAATGTTTAGAAAATATAATTGAGTTGACATTTAGAAAAAAAAAACATTTGTTTTCATCTAACTATTCCCATATGCATTGTGATTCCAGTTGCTGCCTAAGATTTCCAGATATTGATTTCTGAGAGGGGACAAAAGAAACAACCTCAGATATAAGAGCATGCCTGCTGTTAACAGCAGATGAGTGCATGAAAATAAAAGACAGGGGCAGAGATCGAGGTTAATTCTTCTGAGGTCACTATAATGCCTCCCACAGGAGACTGAAATTTCAGCTCTCATTCCCTGTTTCAACAAGCTTCCTCGTCTGCCTGTTCCCCGTCCCCAAATACAGCTTTAGCACAATTAGTGGTGGATAATTAGATGTAGGGCTTCCCTGATAATGGATAGAATGGGGCAGAAGGTGCTGTAATTATAGGGTAAAGTGCTGTTGAAAGCATCATGGAAATGGATTTCAATATTACCTCATATGATCAGAGACACTAGATAAGATAATAGATAGATAGATAGATAGATAGATAGATAGATAGATCATTCCTTCTCTCTCCCCCCTGTACTATAACCTTGCTAACAGTCTGATTAATTCTGTCTCATCATTCTCTGTCCTTCCTCCCGTCTCTGTAAACAGCACCAGTAATTATGAGAAATGAACAAATGAACACCGTACTAATAGAGTTTCATTAATATGTTAATATGCTGTATGCTGCTGGGTGTATAAAAGACAGACTGCCCCTCATCCAGACACACACCTGCAGCAACCCTGTTATTTGAAGGTTACAGGCTGTCTCATTTCCCCCTACTGGAATTCAGTTTTTTTTATTAATATTAAACAGCAACTCCTCTCTTAGAAGGTAAGGATTATTTGTGTTGTGTGTTGTGCTTTAACCACTGTACTGTTTTCAGGATTGTGTCTTAAATGTTCCTCATAGAATACGGTAAAGTTAAATGTTGCAAAGAATTTCTTTAATTTTATTTAAACATTTATAAAACCACCACCTGGGTGAAAAGTAATTGCAGTCTTGCATTCAACGGCAATAACAATAACATAATTCTAAATAACATCTTTCAGTTTTACAATGCTTGGATGTACATGTTACATGCACTGTTTTTTATACAGATGCAGACGAATTGTGCTCTACTCTGTATCTCACTCTGTGTATTTACTGCACATCTCTCAAGGATCCATGGCGTGACCCTCTCGGTACATCTTCTATTACCTCTTCTCTTGCTCAACTATGATTGTTTTTTCATCGCCTCTTTTAATCTCACAGAATCCAGAGAAAAAAGGCTGGACTCTACACAGTGCTGGGTACCTACTAGGACCTTGTAAGTGCATTGCATTCAAACAATTTGACAGCTTTGTTCAAATGAGTATTTTAATAACATTTAATATTGGTTTTATTGCTATAATTTTGTGGTTCTCCTCTTGCAGATGCTCACAGAAGTCTTAATGTAAGACACAGGGCAATGGGCAAAAAAGACATGTGGAACAAGAGTTCAAGCGTGCTAACATCTTCATACAGTCAGTCCTTAAAGCATTTATTACTATTTTTATTATTAATAAACCTTGATTTTAAGGAATAATCTGAAATATTAGTATTCCTATTTATTTTCCATTCTTAAATGTTATTCCTCTTTGTAAAATGATAATTTTTCTAAAAAATAAAGTCACATTTTTTTTCCTATTCCATAGATGATTCCTATCTGCACTCACTACTGGGTCATCTTGCATATCTGCGATTAAAAGGTGAATAGTTTAATTGATTTATTTCCATTTAGTAGTAACTGAAAGAAATCTGAATACGGCAAGTAAAAGTACTATTTTTCTCTTTCAGAAATGGGAATGACTGAAGATTTTAGTGGCTCTTTAATTAATGGCCATATGAAGCAATAACAGAAATATCCCTGTTTAACTGTCAACAGCTGCCCTCTAAAATTATTTTGCATTCCTTCCTATTTATTATTATTTGTCATGTATTAAAAAATTGTTCAAATGCGATTATCCCATGAAACTGATTTGGCTCATCTCACCACATCTCACAGAACCATTGTTGGTGCATAATTTCCTGCTTCTGAGTTCAAACAAAGCAATTCATGACAAATGTTTTAAAAAGCCTTTAATGTTTATTTCATATTAAAAGGAAATTGATGTAGCTAATCCGGGAGCAGCAATTTACTGTAAAAAAAAAGATGCTGGATTAAAATTTTAAGTTCAATCAACTTGGATGTTTAAGTCATTTCAACTTTAACATTAAACTGACTTAAAAATGAGTTGAATATTGAATAACTTGCTCAACCTATTTTGCTGAGTTAATGTGCAATGAGCAATGTAATAACATATGATGTCATGGTCGATTATGTAATTTTTACACTGTTTTTTTGGTGAATAAGAGGTGAAAACTAATGAAATCTGTTGATTACAAATACACATTTTTGAACAAATAGCAAACTATCTCGCTGATTCCAATAACCATTGTTTGACTTAACACAGAGAAAGCATAATAATAAAAGGCCTAATTAAAACATGAAACGTAGTGGGAGTGTATATTATTATGAAGTGTGATAAAGAGACATTGGGTCAAGATTAATTTAAGACAAGATTTCTTGGATAGGCCTACAAATGCACATGTGTTTTGGATGTCGTTCTATTCCGTCGAAATACAGCAAGATAAAATCAAAGAGTTAACACTTGACGCCATCTTGTGGCAGGAAAAGGAAATGATGTGGTGTAGAAACGATTTTCACTCAGAAATTTCACCTCAAGTAACCCCATTGAATTAAACGTGAAATGTTGAAGTACATTTTGAAAATTACATTTTGAAACATTCATTCGAAGTAATTGATTCCTTATGTATCCATGTTGTTGTTGTTTTTTTCTTTTTTATCAAAATACATTTTAGGTAGCCTACACAATATACTGTAGGTGTAGCTAAATTCATACTTTCATATAATATGAGGTCATTAACCTCATGCTTAATACTAAATAATAACACATATTTGTAGATGGAGTATGTAACACTGTGTGTATTTGCAACGCGTTCTCATCCCAAAGCGCCATATAGGACGCTTTTGCAAAAGCGTAAATATCCAACGCACATGGCACCCTTTAACGTCTAATGAGACGCTTCGGTTAATGGTTAAGTTTAGGTATGGTGTGGGGTAAGGGTTAGACCACTAGGGGGCGCCTTCTGCCCAAATATATCTGCGTCTCATTTCACGTTAAAGGGTGCCATGTGCGTTGGATATTTACGCTTTTGCAAAAGCGTCCTATATGGCGCTTTGGGAGAACGGGCTGAAAAACAACACCTAAAATGTAAGAAATCTCTAAGCCATTTCTGAAGTTGTTGTAACAGAGAGACATCGGAAGAAAGCTGGAGGCTGAAAGATGCAGATGGGAAGGGGCAATTTAGGGCTCTGGGGGGCAGATGGGGTCCTTGGAAGGATGGCTGCCTATACTTCCACATGATGATAATAACAACATCTGAGCTTTTCCAGGAACTATTTTAAACATTATGCCTCTGCTAAATATGCTCTATCCCATCAATCCAATGTTATAAGGCTTTTACCACTCATCATAAATGGAGTTTTCTAAAATAGCATGCTGTATTACCTCATATTTTGGTGGCCAAATAAATAATTGATTTGATGATTGGTGATTGAGACAACAGGAATTCACAAGATAATGAGATTTCAATCAGTTGTCTTCCTAAAAGATGAGCTGACATTTTTTCATCTTTATGGTAGAAAGGCCAACCAACTGTGGATTGTACGTGTAATGGTTCTGTAGTGGAAAAGGTTGACTGACAATCACTGTGTTTACAGAAATTCTTGCACTCAGCTTACTCATTGCTCCAATACGAGCTGAATAATGCTCAATAAAGGTTGCTTGGATTTGTAAAGGTTATATTAGATTTATGCAATACTAGGTGTTTGGATTACGCTGCATTTTTTGTTTGCAATTTTTTTGACTGCATTCACAAATGGCAAAAAACAAAACATCCAACCCCCCCACAAGAACATGAAGGGTCACGGTAATGCCACAATTTAAAAGCGCAGGTAATAAGGCCAAGCTTATATGGCGGATAGCCTCTGCAGCCTTGAGCCAGAATCCTGATAAGAAGGTCCAGGGTAAATGAAAATGATTAGGACTACGGTCATTTTAATGCCACTGCTACCAAGCACATGAAAGAGTCTGCAGCTGTGGAAGAAAAAAAAAAAATCAGACGGCTTTTCTTTGACATGCCCCATTATGCTGTGAAAGGTCCAGAGAGCCGTATGACTCAAACAGAAACGTCACTAAGCGACTAGGCACAAACTGAAATTAGTACCACAAATCAAAAAAGTCGATGACTGTGGCAGACACACACACACACAAACAAACACAATCTATCCTCAAAGAGAAGGATCCATCCTCAAAGCTCCCTTGCACCGGAACCACACTCAGGTTAATTAAATTTGCTCAAGATCAATTGACCCTTCATTACAGTAGAATTGCAATTAGGTTTTGCATGCTATGATATAGTGTTGATAGATCCTCATAAGATGCATACAAGTGTAGGGGCAGTACGTGCATGGTGGTGTGTTGTTTCTAAATGTCTGAACAAATGTCTCAGTTTCTTTGCTTGTCCTATATTTGCTTAATTATTTCTCCCTTGGAAAGCTGCAATCGTGCTGTTTAATCTTGTAGCGGATGAATCACTCCTGGTGTTTTTTCCTCTTGTCAGGCAGGAGTCATTTCAGACATTATCTATGGAAGAAGATCATGAAATAATCTTATGTCAAAATATTTTTTGACAATATATCTTTTGCTTGACATTACTTTTTTTTAAGGAAAACTTTGCATTAAGAATAATCATCAGTGCTGAATTTTGCCATAATCTGTTTAGTTGAATTGTGTCTTTGTGACTTTTTGTCGCTTTTGTTTTTAGTTCCCAGTGTTTTTTATCTTATTTTATTTGCCAGTGGATTTGGACTCAGATACTGCCACCTATTTTAATGGATGGAGCAAGACATTCCCATCAGACAGATTGTGTCTTCCACTCTTATGAAGTGCACATGGTGAATACTCCATTTTTGCACCTTTTTAATGACAGCTGGTCATGTGATGGAAACCCGCTCCATGTAGGAAAAAAAATAGCATTTTCCTCTAGCTTTTTGGCTTTTTCTAAAAGACCGATATGTCTGGGGACCTCATCTCGTGTGAATGTTTATCATTTAAGAGGTAGTAGCCTAGCTACTGCATGTGGAAAACTTTTTCTTTGGATGAAAAGCCGACAGCGTTCAGCTTTAAGAGAGAAAAGCGCGTGACGCCCCTTTGAAATGTCTCAGTTAACTTGGAAAGGGGCTTTTCTCATTACCTCGAGGGATTGAGATGGCCATGCCGACGGACTGTATAGCTATATAAAGGAGAACAGCACGAACATGCCTATGCTCAGCTGTGGACGGAAAGCGAGCGGACCTGTGACGTTTCACTGCAACCTTCAGTACAAAGGCGCTCTTCTTTTTAAGGACTGCCGTCTCCTCAAGTGGATTGCTGTATTTTAAAATATTGTTGTATTTTCGAAATTAAGCATTAAGAAACTGTATACTAAACATTTTGCAATTATACAGGTGTTTCTGCACATTCTGTGTCGGTTAGTAGGTTATATAAAACACCTGTCTTGGACTTCCAAGAAGCTCCCAAGTGATGATTTTATGAACTTTTCTTGATCGATTTTTTCCATGTCAGCCCTAAACGCTGTCATGGAATCGTTTGTGTCTTTAGTCACCGAGTCCACCGACATCACCCCACCGGACGATCCGTTCACGGGTCCCATCAAGTCTATTGCGCCCTGGAATTACACTTTCCTCGCCTGTCTGATGTTCATAGTGTCTTCACTGTCGATAACAGAGAACTTCACCGTTATGTTCGTGACGTTTAGATACAAACAGTTAAGGAAACCGTTGAATTACATCATTGTAAATTTATCTGTTGCCGATTTTCTAGTTTCACTGACAGGAGGCACTATAAGTTTTTTAACTAACGCACGAGGCTACTTCTTCCTGGGTGTCTGGGCGTGTGTGCTGGAGGGATTCGCTGTCACTTTTTTCGGTGAGTTATTATAACTTATAACATAAATTATTTTGTGTTACTAATACAATTTATTGTATTTTTATGCTATTTAATTCTGTTGTAGTATGTATTCCACTTGTTGCTAGTGCATATTCGAGTTTTATTCATTAAATTTTAACATCATTTCTTATTCACTGCTTAGTCTACTAAACTCTCCCAATAGATGTATTAGCCAACTTGTCACTGTTGGGCTAGCAAATGTAGGATATGTAAAGAATAAGTAATAGGCTAGTTACTTATTGAATAGATAGATTCAATTTTTTTGGCATATTGTTTATCATTTCTATTACAATGGCTTTACTACAAAAACCATTGTTAGAATATGGTTACTGTTGTAACAATGGTAAATTTGTGTTATACAGTGGTCTTACTGCAAATAGTTGTAGTAAAACATGATGTATTTCTTTCATAAAAAGAAGTCATGACACACTAAGTCTCACAAGTATGACTTTTATGATCTTATAATTCCAACTTGTGCAATTATGACATTTTATCTCATAATTTAGCCTTTTAATGTCATAACATTTACCTTTTGTGACGGAAATGGGCTTCCCTAGTTACCTGCAATCAGGCAATCCGGTCTCATTTGAGCTTGAAGGGTTTCCCCCTCCCTACAGTAAACTTCCATCATATTCATCTCCCATGATATTCATTGTTTGTGTGCAGGGCCGTGCAGAGACCTCTGGAGGGGCAGGTGCTCAAAGTATAAAATGGGGCACATGGAAACAAGGCTTTATAGGGCTGTGCTCAAAATATCAATACAGTAATATATCAATACAGATGATTCTGCATCGATACAGCAGCAAATGCATTGATGCAGTTTTGAAAAAGAAACAGAACAGAAAAGACAATTTTAAAGTTTAAAATGCAAAAAAATAATTTATATATATATATATATAATTTATATATTTATATATAACTCTGGGATTAGAAACTGAAGTATCTTAAGTTGTCCCAACCTGATGGCTTTTTCTTCTCTGTTATACAGAATAATAAAGAACAGCTGTTATAGTGAACTGTGTAGGACAAAATCAACCTGGCCCATGTTTCGTGCAGTACAGTATAGTTTTATTTAATGGCATATCAGCATCTGTGGCTATTTTCATGGCAAAAAGTGATTTACAAAAATACAAGAGTTACATTTTATACAATGAAAATAAAAACAAAGCAAACAGAAACAGCAATTAATACTTTACAAGATTTTTAACATTAATGTGATGCCTGTTATGGTTAATTCTTACTTAAGTCCTTAAGTGAGTTTGCTGCCTTTGCTGTTGATGTTGTTACTGCTGATACTGCTGGAGTTGATCTGAGACTGTAGACATTAAAATAAACAGAAATATAGGTTATTAGCTGATTAAACCATTTTTATGTGACCATGACAAGATGTAAAGATTGCTAACAGTGTTTGGAACTGGCTCACTAGTTCACTGACCTGCTAAAGCTACAGATTCTGCCCAGGCTGCTATAGTATAATAATACAATAATAGTATATAATAGTAACGTTACTAGGGCAGATGTTCACACAGGCTTCTGCACACAAAACATAAGATACTAACTGGTAAGCCTATGTGATAACTTACCAGAGTTGTGATAATAATTTTTATGTGAAAATAATTTTTTAAATAAATACTGTAATAATAATAATAGTTTAAAGTACAAATAATAGTTTTTAGTCAAATAACACCCCTCCACGCCCATGAAACTTTTCTCCCTCAAACAGCAAGCTAACGTTACTTCTACAGCCTACACACAGCAATACAAACAACATCTCTCTGCATGCTCTCTTCACGTCGTTCTAGTAAAATAATTATAATAAGTAAACAAACATCAAAATCACTTCGCTGAGAATAGAACACCACTTACCAGCAGCCGCAAGACTTGAAGATATCCTCTGGGAATGCGCGATTGCGCGTAGCCGCGCGAAATTAAAAAATGCGCGTGCAGCGTGAGGAATCAGGTGAAAGGTCATCATGTGGGTCATTTTATTTACAGCTAAATTATTATTCATTCATTTTACTACTAGTTAGATGGGGCAGGCATCCACAAAAGTGCCTTTAAATACAAAAAAAAGGAGAGGAAATTTTGTCTTGACAAAAGGGCACTTTGGGCACCAAGGGGCAAAAGGGCAGGTGCTCGAGCACCCAAAGCCCCCCCCTCTGCACGTGCCTGTTTGTGTGTGAAGTAATTGATTTTCTGAAGAGTAAACAGTAAATGGGTGTACCTTCTTGCTTTCTAGGGATTGTGGCTTTGTGGTCTTTAGCAATCTTGGCATTCGAGCGTTTTTTTGTGATCTGTCGTCCTCTGAAAAATGTCCGTCTGGGAGGCAAGCATGCAGCTATGGGTCTTGTTTTTGTTTGGACCTTCTCTTTCATCTGTACAATCCCGCCGGTTCTGGGTTGGAACAGTTATACAGTCAGCAAAATTGGCACTACCTGTGAACCCAACTGGTGAGCTCAAAATACCATTTCAATGAATGTCCCTTCCTGTGTGTTATATTGTTATATTATAAAAAAAAAGAAAGAAAAGAACCCACTTATAACCCCAAGGCTCATGCCATGCAGCCATCAGTTGAAAAATTGCTTTCAAGAGACTGGCACAAAACATTTGTGTCTGTGACTTGTCCTTGGCCTTGAAACACAAACAGTGCAAAAACATTTGAATAGGGAATGCGCACTGACGCATAAGAAGACCAAGGATGGAGGAATATTTTTTTTTACCATTGTCGGGCATAGCATCCACATTGGTGTTCAACTTTAGAGTAATGCAGTTTCTGCAGTTGAGATCTCTGACAGCAGAGCAGGAAATTTAACGTTTTAAATTCTGGTTTCTATTTATTCTCAAGTGATCCTAATGTTGGCACTGCCTTGAGCTTGCCGTGGGAGCTTAGTACTCAATTGTTCTGTTGCAATGTTTTTTTGGACAAACAAAGCACTCAACAAAACATATTATGCAAGTGTCTAACATACGCATGTGCTCTTATTAGTAAAGATTTGTGTAAAACTGATTACCTAAGCATTCTTATCCACATTCATTTTTTGTGCTCAAAGTACCTGCTAGATGTCAAGTAGGTAAGAATGAGGAGGTCTAAAGTCTCTGTTTTCCTCCTTTTAAGGTACTCAACTGATTACTATGACCACACCTACATCATCACCTTTTTCATTACATGTTTTATCCTTCCTCTTGGTGTGATCATTATCTCCTATGGTAAACTTATGCAGAAGCTCAGAAAGGTTGGTCAAATACTCATATCCTAATTTTCATTACTTGCTTCATAGCCAATATTTAGATGTAAATGATTAAAGAAAAACTCAGAAAAAACTATAAAGCCTTTTGAGATTCTGTATGGCCGTGTATTGTAATTGACATTTGATTTGAAATTACTCTTGGACTGTAATTAACCTTAGAACTTTATTATGTCTAATAGGTATCGAACACTCATGGAAGACTGGGTAATGCGCGTAAGCCTGACCGAGAGGTGGCGAGGATGGTCATTGTAATGATAGTTGCGTTCATGGTTGGATGGACGCCTTATGCAGCATTTTCAATCATTGTCACAGCCTGTCCCACAATTTATATTGATCCTCGCCTGGGCTCAATACCGGCCTTCTTCTCAAAGACTGCAGCTGTATACAATCCCATCATCTATGTCTTCATGAATAAGCAGGTACATCTTTGCCATTTATCATCCTTATCTGGGATTTTCTGAGCACCTACATGTCTTATAAAAATAATACTTCTGAGTTTAGGGTGTCGTGCTGAGAAAAAACGAAGAGGATTTAATATTTTATATATTAAAAATTGATTTCTGGTGTTTTATGCCATCGATAAATAAAAGAAGAAAAGCAAAGGCAATGAATCATATAATAGCCCTATGGGAATGTTGTGGTTTACGTTTATTATAGCTATCCTGTCGGAATTCAGTTTTCTTTTCAATAAAAGTCAAAGAATGAGCATGAGGTCTGAACTGCTAAACTTTTCCCCCCTTCATTATATGTCAGGCACAGATGGCAGACATCTGATGCTCTTTACTCTTGACAGTTTTGGTTGAGGAGATTCAGTTTTTTCTTACTTCAAAAAAAAAAAAAAAATTACATTTTTAAAAGTTCAAATCCACAGAGGTAGAGTGGTCCATGTATACCCAATGAAAACTGTATCATATCTCTAATGTTGGCTGGTTTAAACCTCTGACTATTTCCAATTGAATGATATTCTGCATTCTCAGTGGAGTCATGCGTAATAAGTGATAGTCTGCACTGTTGCTCCTTGATATCCCATTCTTTTTTGAACATGGTTGTAGAGGAAACAGTTCTCCTCTGTATCCCTGTAGTGTGTCGTTTGATGTGAAGAATGAAGCAATGATCTTTTGCAAAATGTGACTCTGATGACCACCCCTAGGATGTGGGTCCCAGGTGGTTTGGAGCAGAGGCTGCTGGACCCCTTGAGCTGTGCACATCTTCCAGAACTAACCCAGTTCCTTCCCAGCTGTTCCCAGAATAAATTCAGTGCAAGGGTCACAGCCAGGGTCGCAAATTTCTCTGATGTGTGAGAGAGAGACAGACTACATTATAGAGAGACGAGAACAAACACTTGAGATTAAGAATAGTGGCGGTTACTTTACCTATATAGCATTGGTAATGCTGCATTGTATCACAAGGGCCCTTGTGAAAGTTTGCTGTTATATGGCGTATTCAATGAGGATGCAAAAGTCTTTTCTGAAATGGATCATCTATTTGAGAGATCTGAACTAGAACATTTGCTGCTAGATTTAATTTTCTTTTTTCATTTCAATTGTTCTGGTAACACTAATATGGCTACATTTATAGAATATATGTTTATTAGTGCATTGGGCGCCTTTGAAAATGAACAACACTTTTTCAGAATTGATTAATCCTTTAATGTTAATTTATGAATATACTGCTGTTTGTGTTTGTTCATAAAACATGCACTTGTGCGCATAACATACAGGAGATTGGATGCGATTCAAGGCCCCAATATATACTCATGTCACAGCATAGTTATTTTTCATTCTTTGCTTAGGAGGAGTAAAAGGAAGTTGCGGTTTCAGAGATATACTGTTAGTGAAAAGCCCATACGGACGGACACATGCTGAAAGCGTCATTTAGATTAATATGTACACTGTAAAAAAAGTTGCTGCCTTCAATTTTTAACTTGGATGTTTAAATCATTTCAACTTAAAATGACGTTAAACTGACTTAAACAAATAGTTTAATCTTGTACAACTATTCTTAACTTATTTTGATGATATTTTGACAATGTTGTCAACTTATTGATCATACAGTATATTTTATTTTGTAGATATGTTTCCACCACCATCATGTCGACATGTTGTTCGATTTTGAAGTATATTTGAAACTAGAATATAAATCTGGCTATGTAAGACTATAAATTAATCCCTAATTATTAATCCCTTTACTTTGCATGACACTTTGACATCGCAGTTCAGAATGGCTTTTTTGACATTATCCTGAACATTGTATAAGCATTCGCTTAATGTGTCAAAGAACGGAAGAGAGGCTCTCGGGAACGCACGTAAACATCACATCCTTTTGATTTTCCTGGGGAAATGTCCCTAGTCCTTTGCATAAAAATCAATCTACAGGCTTTCAACCTAGTATAGTGAAGGTATTGTTTTTTTTTTTTTTAAGTTTTGATTCACGCTCTTCACACATTGACAATACAAAAGCGAGTAATACATGAAATTATTACAAAAGCTATAGCCCCTTTTAAATGAAATTTACAAAATATTATTTATAAATGAACATTATTTTAGACTATGTTGTGGAAATTTTGTACCTACATCTTAAATAACAATTAAAGAACAAATGAAGATCTCGAAAGTCATAAGTAAACGTATTTATTTCTTGCAAGAAAGGCAGTTCACAAACAGACAGAGTCTGATATGAGAAAGGCGAAGATCTTCTCATTTTACAGACCTTATACAAAAAGATCATCCTCCAAAATGTACCCCCTCTTCAGACTAAGGTCCCTTGAACGTACACAGTTTCTCAGTTCCCTTTATTTTAACATTTCTCATCTATGTATACCCACACGAAAAACACATTTCAAAAACAAATAAATACATGTTTTGCTCTTGGTGCAACCAAACTTATCTATTTCTGAGAAGAACAGAATGTTCTGTCCTTTTACACACGTCCCATTTTTAAAAGGGATAATACATCTTGCAGTTTTATATACAGTATATATATATATACATATACATACATACATACATACATAAACACACATCCGTTTCAAGAGATACATTTAAAAGAAAAATTACATTACAACTACACTGTAAAAGTATTGTTATAAGCAGGTAAAGCGTTCTATGACTTTCCAGTTTGTCTTAGTATGTTCTGTTTGTATTGTTCTGTAAATGTATCCCCACTGTAGTGGCTCTCTGCATTACAAATGTATCTGAGACAGACAGTAGCTGGTATTATAATTACCCAGGGTACCTCATTTTCATCCAGTCCAACCAAAACCTCGAGGAAATGAATATATTTACTTCCCATGACCTTATCTCCTTTAATTAAGGCCAAAATGTCCTTGTTTTACATAGAATACATCTTGCTTAATGACCTTTTCCTTGTTTCAGTGCAGATGTTGTACAAAGGGCTAACTGCTGAAAACAAATCTCTACATGGTGTCACAGAGACAGAAAACATTATTCAAAGCTTTTCTTTTGTGTCTTCAGTTCATAACGAGCATTATTAATAGCAAATTTACTGTACAGTCACAATCCACGGAATAATATAAACCACGGAATGCTTTTTCTCTCAGTTCAGGAAGTGTCTGATCCAGATGTTTAGAGGAAATGTCAGCAATCTGGATTCCACCAATCTGAACCAGACATCAGACAGAGGGCCCATCACTGCCACAGGTGACAGTCACCTTGGAGAGATGTCCACCATTGCGGTTCGTGTGCCCATGTCCACGTGCAGCTTGAAGAAGTGTAAGGATGAAGAGGAAGAGCCGGAGCAGAGTGGGAATGGAGGTTCAAACCAGCTCCCTTTATCAGATAGTCAAGGATGTCCTTTGTAGAGAAGGACTAGTCCGACGGAATAAATGTATACCCATATTCATGTATAGTAGTCTAACCTGTTGTCTAACTAAAGCATAAACCCTGCATATGTTTGAATGTATGGTTTGTGTTTTCATATGTTCTTTGTTGTTGTTCGTATTTTTTATTTATGTTGTGGCGATTTGCAGTCTTGGCATATCTGTTCTTGTCAGTATCGCATTATTACCTAACATGAAGGAGGCAGGCAATACATTTCTGTAAAGTCCTCTGAGCAAAGGCTAATAGTTTTTCATATCTGTGCATTCTCTCCTCTCACTATATTGCTGATTGCACACTAGTGTCAGTGCAGATGTCGTGTTTTCTTTTATGGCAATCGTAATGAAAGACAATAATATTGCAATAACTTTCAGTTTCAGAGTTGCTTATGTAGATTTTATATTAAAATTTAGACTATATTCAGACTCTCATTTAATAATCATTAATAGTCGACTTAAAAGAGTTTGGTTCAAAAATCAGAAGATAAAGTGATCGGTTTAACAATATAAACTGAAGACATGACAAGACATGGCACTGGAACATAGTAATAATAATAAAAGCACTGCATGCGCAGAATGCAGGGGTCTCAGCACTTTTATGAGACGAGCTCAGGCAAAATCTGGAATTAAAAGAAATAGACGAACAGCAGAATTAAAATCTGCTGTTTTTGATTGTCTCTGACATTCTGCCGATACAAAGGTTGCTGCTCTCCCTGGCATTGGGGTGTCCAATCCTGCTCCTGGAAGGGACTCAGAATATAACTGATATCATAATTCATTTAGTGAACAGGTTTGACAGCGTATCTGATTTGCAATACAGTAATAAACCATGCAATTAATGTTCCCATCTCATGAAATTAGATCCTTGTCTGTTGTTGCATTTTGCAGTCTTGTTTTGAGAGGTTTAAGGAAGCAAATATTTTTATTATAAATTGTATTTATTTAGAAGCCTATAGTGTATAATTTGAAATATGAGTGCTTTTGAGTATGAGTGAACAGTCTGAATGTCTTATTAGTCTATAATGTTTAGTGTTTCGTCACAGTTTCTGTCCAAAATGAATATTGATAATGATGTTTGTCTGTGGCATGCCAATGAATGTTTTACTTATGTATTTATTTGTGAATGTCTTGAATTATAAAAATCACGTTTCTTATTTTTAAAACATGTCAGCATTGTCGAACATATACATAATAAAACAACCTGCAATACGTTTTCAGAGTGATCACGCTACTGATGATACACAGAGGCACATTATATCAAAATTGTATATAGCAAATCCAGTGTGTTTATTACATCACACAGAGAACCTGAAATAACAAAGAATCTGACCTGAGTTATGAGGTTCCCTTAAGCTCAGAAGCACTCTTTAAATATTGCCCTGGTAAAAAACATCTGAATTCAATTTCTTCTGGCCATGGTTTGTTTGTTACACCCTAGGTAGCGAGAGGCACCAATCACAGTACAAAAGAAGAATATCACCATGCCGGATCTCACACATAAAGTGAAAAGTCATGAGGTAAACAATTTCAGCCTGGCATGTTTGACAACATTTTCAAGGCTTTTTGCATCATGAATTTTTCAAGCACTCCAAAAGGGTCCAAAAGGTTTTTTTTTTTCCACAACAATGCCACAGAAGAGCAATTTTTGCTTCACCAAATAACCTGTCAGCGGTTAAAGGAACCATTTTTTTCTTGGTGTGAAGAACATTTTAAAAATCTAAAGAAACTTTCCACAATAAAGAACCTTTTGAGGAATGGAAAGGTTCTATGGATGTTAAGAACTAAATCTGCAACAAAGACAGTGTTTTCAGAGCTTATGGTTAAATGAGGAAGGTCATTTAAAAGTTGATTTAAACTAAATTGAATAATTTTAGCAATTACAACCTCAATGCTTTCAAATTCATTTTAATGGTGGATAGACACTAGATCTAACAGCACAGCAGATGAAAAGCACATTTACACATTTAATTCCTACAATTCTGTGCGATCAATGACAACTACAAAAGCCTTAAGAAAGAGATGGGTTTAAAGGATGACTTTTTTCAGCTCTTTTGAGTCTCTCTGTGTACCTAGCCATTAAAATAGCTCATGTGAATGCATCATGCCCTAACATATACATTGTTATAAATGACATATACATCCAGGACATGCATGTCAGTTTCTTCAGGTAACCTAACATGTCATTTGTTTTTTTTTGTGTGGGTATGTGTGTGTTAAAAATTAACGCAAACCATCAGAATAATGATTTCAACCTAGTTTTTTTATGTGCAATAACATGAGAAGTGTGTATTTTCTTCATTATAACTGCAGATTCTAATTTTACAAGCATGAAATTATTCTTTAATTGCTTTAATTGTGTGTAATGAAATCTTTGCTCGGTCACAGCTGAGTGGTGACCCTGTGATCTTGTTATATTTGGCACAACATCATGAAAATCACATAAATGTGAATGTTGGAAACTGTGCATATATGATTTGACATGCATTACTCTTGAAAAAAAAATCTTTGTTCACCTTTTGTTAGTTTTGGTTTAACATAATTTCTTGCTCTGAATGTCGAATTGTATAGGTCTTTGTCTAATTTCTATGTTCATTTTCAAAGCCTGTATTTTTCTATAAAGGCATCCGATTGGTAAATTTCAGGATTGCTTGCTATAGAAACCTGTGCTGCATGAGGTATTCTGCGGATAGTATTCATCAGGCATGCTGAACTTTTTGGTGGAGCACTACTAATAGGAAATCTCCAAAGCAATGTGATAAGAACAGGCTTAGCTTGGTCATGAGGCCAACATGATTATTTACACAAACAGCAATGAGGTGACCTAGGAATTACTTGAAATTAATTACTTTCTGCAGTTTTCTCTATCATTAAATGAGAGTGGAATGGTATCAATGTGTATTTTTCCATACTATATTTCTTTTATCACTAAATTGCAAAATTACAAATGTTTGTTTAATTCAATTAAAATGTATTTGTATAGTGCCTTTCACAAATCATATTGTCTCAAAGCAACTTCACAGAAAGTGAATTTCAGAAATGTACATAGTTAGTTAATCATGTATTAATTTAGGGCATAACATATCGCCGGCGTTGAGTCGTGTCTTCACAGGCGTTTAGTCTCATTGCAGGTGTTGGGGCACCTGAAGTCTGATGGAAAATAATTAGCATAGCTGCTGTTTATAATATTAATACATTCGATCTGATCTCATTTTGTGAATGCTTGGCTAGAGAGATGCGTCTTTAATAGTTTTAAACTGGGCCAGCGAGTCTGAGCCTTGAACAATACCAGCAAGGCTGCTCCAGAGTTTAGGAGCTAAATGTGAGAACGCCCTCCTTTAGTAGACTTAGATATCCTAGGAATGACCAGAAGCCTCAAATTAAAGGTCCATTAAGGAGCTAAACCATTTAGGGCTTTATAGGTCAGACTGTAGTAATACTTTGTTATTGATACAGAACTTAATAGGTAACCTAGGTAAAATAGGTATAAGAGATGATTGGTGTTATATGATCATGTAGTGAATAAAGTAACAGGACATCCTTCTAGCCTAAATTAAAGTTGGATTGTAAGAGGTTTTGTGGGTAGTTTTTTGGACCAATAAGTAATACCTCAGTTTTATCTGAATTTAAAAGCAGGAAATTACACGTCTTCCAGCATTTTTTATCTTTAAGACACTCAGTCAATTTAGTCAAGTTAGTGTTTTCATCTGGTCGTGATAAAATATATAATTGAGTGTCGTTAGCATAACCAACGCATTCTCACCCCAAGGCGTCACCTTTGACCATGCTTCAATATTTGACGTATTAGGCGCCCTTTAGCGTCACTTACATGACGCGATCCTTCGGCGTCATCTAACTGACGCTAAAGGAAAGCGTCAGTTAGAGGATGCGGTTAGGTTTAGGTGTGGGGTGGGGTAGGGTACACGCGATCCTAGGGCGTCATCTAACTGACGCTAAAGGGCGCCTAAAGCGTCAGATATTGAAGCATGTCCAAATGCTTCCCAAGGCGTCAGTTAAGTGACGCCTTGGGGGTGAGAATGGGCTGGCATAACAGTGGAAATGAATTCCAGGTTTTCTTATAGCATTACGAAGTGGCAGCATATAGCCTATATTGAGAATAGCAGAGTGCCTAACACCGATCCTTGCAGCACTCCATAGTCTGACGTTATCTTCGATTTATAGTATATCTTAGAAGACTTTTCTATTGAACCTTAAAAGGTTCTGTCCCCAGGGGTTCCCATTTAGGGGTCGCTTTATGAATTTAGATTTGATTTTGTTTTGATTTTTTTTTTTCATTTTCATAGAAGCCAACAGCAACATACAGTAATCCAATATAGCTAAATATGCACCGAAATTTGTTTTCAATTTAAATTGATATATAAACAAAATGGGATCTTTAAAAAAAATAAAATTAAATAAAACGCTCACTCAGAGCAAAAAAATAAAATAAAAAATATTCCAGTCCAATGTGCATATTAATGCACAATATAACAGTATATTAAATGGTGGTAATTTTTACTAAATGTTTGTACGGTATTATACGATAAATTTAAAAGAAGAACCAGTTTCAGTGACACAGATGAGTGGACTGATGTACAGCATTGCTATAGACCAATCAGAGCGTGTAGGTTGCGTATGTAAACTCAGTTACCTGAGAAGGGGAACGAGACGCTGCATTGTTAATCGACGCTATGGGAATGCTCAGCTTGAGCATGTGTGACATGCCAGTCTTGATTGGCTACTGCAGTCAGGTGACTCGTATGCGTCGTATGACTATAAAATGGCACCAAGAGAAGACTTTTGAAGGTGATAGCATCTTCTCTAGGTGCCCTTTTATAGTCAGATGACACATGTGAGTCACTTGTGTGCAGAGAAGACACTTCAAAAGTCTGAAGGAAGCAGTGCAGGCATGCCTGAAGTATGGCAACATGACACATCGTCACAGTCCCTTTCTCAGGGTTACATACGAAACCTAGACATTCACTTTTGAAGTGGAACTCTACATTGCTTCATCAGTCGATGCTATGGAAACAACAATACCCACTGCACCATACTGAACAAATGCCTGCCCACTGTGCTGTGAAATCCCCAGTGAACTAAGCTATAGCCAGAACATTACCAGATATTGCATCTAATGACCAAGGTCCGAGGTCCACAGCTCAATACCTTTAATACTTAACTGTATAACTGTCCCAGGGCAGAGCAAGTTAGGGAGGCAGCAGTGAATCATTGGCCTTGCTCTAAGTGGCAACCTCACCAAAGGGACCCAAACGTTTTTAGCATTAAGAGCTACAGTATGCTCCCTCAAATGCCGCTTTATCTAAAGAAAACATCCTCTGAACTGTATTTGCTTTTGCAAAGTCTGGTAAGAGAGTACTAAGAATGGAGTGCCTAAAGCAGCTTCTGCACCTTCCACTCTCTATCGCAGACCAACAAATGGGGTGTGGACCCCACTGACAGTCAACCTCCACCATTCAGTGGGAGCAACAGATAAAGAGGCGCACCCATGGCAGAGCAAAGACCCATCCCTTTCTCCAATTTCTCCATGGGACGCCAGTAGAGGTATTGCCCAATCTCCTCTTGTGTACTGCCAGTCACATGGGGTGCCAGATAGGAAACTGGGATGCTGTTAGCACTGATGCCCATCTTTCCTAATCTGTAAATTGCCCCTTCCCTCTGAAGGGAAGTAGCCAAATGATGCTATACTACCCACAAATACATATGAATGTGATTCCATAGGAAGTGTATCTTCCTTGGGCTCTAAATAACAGAGAAGGCAATAGATGAAGTGGGATGCATGTGGCGGTATTGCATCCAATCATCTTATGCGGGTGCAGAAATTTATGTAATATGCTGATTTCACGCAATTTGAAATCGAAAGCGAGGCTCCGGGGAAGAACCCCGGAACATAGCTACCACCTCCGATCTGTCAGTACTGCATCATGAGCAAATACAGAAGGAGCATAATGCTACTACCTCCATACTCTCAGTACTGGAGCGCATTTTCTGGCACCAGCGCTGGAAGGTGAAAGACGAAACAGTTGGACACAAGCGGCGGTATTGCCCATCTGCTTCATCTATACCAGCCTATTTATGATTACATAAGGAGAATATCGCTATTATATCCAGTACTATTGCACACCCCCATTCCCCCAAGGGCCCAGTTACAGGATCAGAAGAGGGTGCTGAAGGACGATCACAGCATGTAGCGCTTGAATGTTGCCAACTTAAAC